TTGACCGTATGACACAGGAGTTGTTTTTGTTGTGACAAGCGCAGTGTGAAAACAGACCCAGGCTTTCCCAATCAATGACTTTCACCCACCCACAGTGATGATTATATCTAATGAGAGGCTTGGTGATGAGATAGACCCTCGAAGTTGTCAGTGGATTACTGAGGCAGGCTGTTATAGGTTTGAGAAACCGATGTCAGAAATATTAGTAAGGGATTTGAAAGGAGTGAGGAGGCACTCACACAAGTGGAACAGATGTTTATTGTTTTTTTTTTAAGCTACTGGTTATTTATTCCAATTGTTTCTTGTTTGATTGTATGCAGGATGAATTTGGTGGATGGGATTAGAGAAAGTGGCTGAAAGAGAGAAAAAGGGAGATGCTAGATAGGAGCAGAGAGACAGAAATAAGGGAGGGGGAAGAGAGAGAAGAGGGGAGAGAGGAAAGAGATTCGTGGTGAGAGAGAAGGGGGAGAGGCGCGCGCGCGCGCGCGCACACACTCACACACACACACACACACACACACACTCACACACACACACACACACACACACACACACACACACACACACACAGGGAGAGGGAGCGAGAGAGAGACAGAGGGAGTAGAAACTGTTAAAACGTGTGTGTTCGCTCTTGCCAGTCTCAGCATCGCTCAGTTTCTGCAGGAGGCAGCTGGCTCCATCCCTCCAGGATCTCCACTGGCACCGATGACCACATATGATCTACCCACTTCCCAGTCTACCCATTCACTCTGATTTGGGATCTCTTTATTTTGTTTGCATGGATGATAACAGCCTACCGCAGATGCATGGATTTCTCATACACCAACTAATTTGACTCAAACCCGGGATTGGTGAAAAAACACAGAACAGACAAAAAAAGGGGGGGGGGACTCCAGCCGTTTTTAGGTCTGTGGAAGCAGCACTTGAGCCTGCCTTGGACATGGGACCGTGCGTCAGCCGAGAGGGATCCGGTGTCGGAGGAAGAGCATCTTCCTGAAGGAGGAAAAACCCGTGTGAGGGAGTTTTTTAATTTTTGTTTTTGCCACCGGGGAGGGGGGAGCTGTGGGTTTTACGCGCCGGAACGATGCGTCCCAACCGCGGCTTCATCCTGCTCCTCCTCAACGGAACCGCTTGTTTGGTAAGAACAGAGTGGGAGTGGGGAAAAGCCACACTGTACTCTTTATGCATCTTGCTTCAGATTACCTTACTTTACCCATATAACGCTTCGTACCCGCGTCAGGAGGTGCGGCGAGGTGTCTGCACCGCATTTGCACAAAAAAAAACTTCCAAACTCGCAGATTGAAGTCGACAAACAGTGTGTGGACAGACATGAGAGAGCGGTAACTGGGAGCCGAGATGATACTTGTCACGATAATAAATCCCCACTCTCTCTGGTCATCTCTGCCTCTCGCAGAGATGCAGAGAAAATTCACGCCTACTTTGCTCGGTTTACTTCCAAACGCGTTTCTGTTGACTTCTGATATTTTCTTTTACTCACTTTATAATTATTAAGACACTAATATTCACTTTGACCCCGCTCGGCTCAGGTACGGCGGGTGCACTATCGCAATTCCCAGCGGACAATCGTACTGTCAGCGTGCGGAGCGCAACTGTGCCGCCGGTGTTCATTACCAGTCTGGTTTACTCTGCCAGCATTTGGAGCCGAGTTAATCTGTTTAACCCATCATTCATCGCACATTAGTGGCTGCCTTGGAAGAAGGTAGCTGCACGGGGAAGTAATAACTATAACGAAAATGGGTTAAACTGCAGACAGGTGTAACGTCCACTTTAAGCCAAAGCCCCAAACACAGGAAAAACCGACACTGCAGAAGCGTTTTAGAAAATCATGTAAAAGTCAAAACTGTGTGTCAGCTGAGGGGAGTGGGTTTACTTGAAATTAATTAAAAAAAATAAAAATAAATAATAATAATAAAAACTCAACATATTCGAGCAGTTATGGTTTTATGACATGCATTTGCTACAGTTGCATCATAAACTTTTAGTGTAACGACTATGTGTGTGGAGATCTACTGTAGGATCCATAACAGAGGTGGGAATAATTTTTCATGTTAGAAAGATTTGAGGAGCAGAGGAATCCGGTATGATTAAATAGAGAATTTATACAGAAGGTGGGGAGCTCATTTTGAAGTGAGAGAAACCTCTTATAACCATTCTGTTCTCTGACTGAGCTAACTATTAAAAAAAAAATCAAGTCATACTAAAGATTTCCAATGTATAATAATTATTTAAGTAAATTGTGATACCTTCCTAAGGACCCCCACTGACCTGAATTGCCTCTGTCCAGTGTTACATAACCTCACAATCAAATTTGGATCACCCACTCCTCTTTCATGTACGCTTGCAGATTTATTAAAAAGCAGCCTTTAATGAGAAATCAGCTCTTGATTCACATGAGGAAACTTGAAAACATCCTTCTGCTCGGAAACCCCTGGGCTGAGTGGAGCTCACTCATCACAGGGCCCAGGAAATGAGCAAGCTCAAAAAAAAAAAACCAAAAACACACACACACACACACACACACACACACACACACACACACACACACACACACACACACACAAAAAGTGCAGTGAAAATTTTCAAGTGAGGCAGAGTGGCTGTTTGATGCACCCCTTTGTGTCTGTGTCTCCTCAAGGATGACCTTGTGCTTCTCATATTAAGGTATTATTCAGGTGCTCAGAGTAAAGTAATGGCCCTTTTGGTGATTTGAGGTCTAACAAACAGTGGTTATAACTGACTGAACGCACACAGATTTGTTGGTTGAGAGGGAGCTGTTCCAACACATCTGAGAGTGAGGAGACCACACGCTGACTTGAAATATGGGGGATGAGCGCCTTTTCAGCCGAGATACAAGAGTGTGGGATAATAGGCTTAACACTCACTTCTGTGTTGTCTTGGTTCTGGGAGTATTTTGTGAGCTGCAGGGCTGTAGCCTATTGTAACCCAGAAGGTCTGTGGCTAATGATAATGAAATTAATTGGGGCTTTTTTTCCCCCCACTCTCCAGACCATGTATCTATGAAAAACGTACATGACATCCCTCAGCAGGAGATCTTGGGTAATTCATTAGCCCCGTGACATTGATAAATTATGGAGCAATTAATAAATTAAGTAACTTTTTTTATTATGCAACAGAGCCGTGATTAATAATCATATAAGCCTACTATGCATTAAAAATTCGATTTGGATGATTTTCTGTTGTAATAGCTCCGCAATTTTCAGACAGGGTTTAGGTCTTGAGGGAGCTTTTGCAAATGGCTACAAATATAGATGACTATTAACACAAGGTGCCACTCCGGTTGTTGTTTATGTGTTGAATGATTGGTTTCAAATGTTAATTATTCTCTGTATTTGAATGGTGGGTGATGAATAATATAAACCATCTCAGTTGTATAATTGACTGCTTGAGAAATTATGTTTATTTTTGGCAGCAGTCTGAGTTATTTCTCATCTGTCTCTCTGCGAGATGACTGGGTTTGTTTCACTCGGCTAAATGGCTCATGCGCATGCACCAAGAGAATAATCTGTGGAGTGTTTAAGAGGATGGTTTGATATTTATTGTCCTTTCACTTGTCCTTGTGATCAGCAGCGATGGCAGTCAGCTGTTGCTCGAGCAGAGGCAAGATGTGAAACAGGGCTGCAACGAGGCTGATGATTGTTTTTGTCACTGATTAATCTGCTTTTTATTTTTCTCAGTAAATTGTTAGCATTTCCTTAAGCCCAAGGAGATGTACTCAAATTGTTTGTTTTTTTTTGTTTAACCAAAAGTCCAGTGCCTCCAGATATTCAGTTTAGTGTGAGTATGGAAAAGTTGACACATTTAAGAATCATTAAATGTTTTCCTACTTATTATTCAGTTATCAAAATAGTTCTTATTTTTCTGTCAATCAACTAGCTGATTAATTACTAACTGCTGAAGCTCTGCTGTGAAAGTTACAGACACTGTAAGGACATAATCCGCGGCTAAACAGAAGCAGCACATGCAAGGTGAACTGAGCTCACTCCGTAAGCAGAGGAAAGACAGGTGCCTATAGGAGATAAGCTGACACACTGGAAATAGACTGGTACAGGATGGTGTAAAGACAAAGGAAATGAGAAGACGTGAGAAGAAGTGTAGATAAAGTGCTAAAAAAAAAAAAAAGGAAAAAAAAAGAATAAGTTAAACATCTGCCTCAGAGGGTTTATACACCTCATTGACAGTCATCACAGATTCTTTCTTCCTTTTGTGGCAAAACATCCAAGAAAAACACACGTTAATCCATGTATAATTACAACTGCAGCACAGGGTTGGCAGTCTGAATCCCCAGACCGAATCTGGGAGGGCTGAGGTGAACAGCGAGTGCTCTCTCCTCCTTCAACAATCTGAATAACTACCAGTAGGAGAATGAAGTGCATTGAACTCAACTGCTTCACTGAACTGCAGCTTCTCTCCCTCCTGCAATTATTCAAGAATCACCCCACTTTTTTTGCAGGAGGGAGATGTTACTCTATGTTGACGTGCCTGGTTAAAGAGTCATTTTAAATAAGGAGCATTTTTTTTTAAAACATTTTACTCACTCAGCACTCAACAAGGAGACATCACTATTTGCACTTTGATAAACGTGCACACGCATGAAAGAGCTTTTTCATTAAGGAATTCTGACCTTGATCATTGCATGTTGCTGTAACCTTCACGTGGTGAAGATCGCTGGGGGATGCAGGAGCCCGGCTCTTCATACACGCTCGCGTTGAGCTCACAGATGCTCCAATTCACACAAGATTTTTTTTTTTTTTTTTTTTTTTTGGGAGCGGATGAGCCTCAGGTAGCCTCTCTGTGGCAAAGAGAGACAGGACCACATTATACTCCCTCTGATTGCTTTCAGTAGAGACGCAGACACCGGCCATCACGCTTGATAACTGAATTTCACCTCTGTAGCAGAGAACAGAATTTGCAGAGTGAATTTCAGGGCAGACGCTCATGCATATTCCAAGTTTTTACACGCCACGCTCTTCCCTGTGTTGTAGGTAATTTCAAAACAGAGAGAAAACATGACACTTGCATGAATTCACATCCACAAATTAGGACCTCCTGCTGCTGCTGCTGTTTTTTCCATTTCCAAACTTTTACCGTCAACCTCCATTTGACTTTCCCATCAGCGAGGAAACACTTACTTATTTAACATGGCACATCAATTAAAAACAAATTATGTTCTTCCACTGAAAGCTTTACAAAGCCAAAATCCCTTTCATAACAAAGGAGGGATTGTGATTAGACTGTACACCACTGAGCACACACTTGAATCATAACATAGCACACAACAACTGAGACAACAAAAGGTATTATATCCAAGCAGAAAGTGCCTGTAGTTTGGCTGGAGCACCACAAGACAGCAAAGGTGCAACACAGGAACAAACGCACACTGTGCAAACCTGTGTGGAAAGATTTGAAAAGCAGAGGCTGTGTACTAATTCTACCCACATCAGACTTCTCTCTCCATTTTGGCCTGTCATAAGGTCTTAGATTCACGTTTCTTAGATACCTGTCTTCCTCGCGGGGTCGCTGACCTTGTCCACCCAGATACATCCCCGGCTAAGCAGAAATACCACCTTAATCCTGAGAAAACAAACTGAGGAAAAAAAGAAAACTCACTGTCTGATACAGCATATATTGCATGCAGACACAAATGTGAGACAGCAGCAGCAGCAGGGTGAATTCAATTTTTTTTTTTTTTTTTTTTTTTTTGTTTGTCTCGCTCCCTTGAGTCTTCCTCTTTGCCATCATTGTTGCAATCTGCATGTCAGAGCTCATAAGCTTACACCCTCGTCCTCCTCCTCCTCACATCCGATACAGGCGCCAGAAACACAAAACTCATCCATGATTGTCAAATCATAAGTGAGGGTTTGACTACGAAACCACAGTGGAAGCAGACAGAGCAGTTTATTGTGCTGATGACATCTGTCCTGTACTTTCCCCCTTTGTGAGTGCATGAAGCATCATAAAGGGATGATTTTTACAGGGACGATTATCAGGTCGCGGCATTTTCAGCATCAGTAGCGAAATAATATGCAGTTGCATTGTTAGCCATTCATCTAGGGGACGAACAATTTCCTGGAGGAGCCCAACATCCCACTGTCACTT